CCCCAAAACCCCAAAACCCCAAAACCCCCAATACAAAACATTATGTAAGATTAGGTGTTTGAGTGATTTGTCAATCTCTAAATATGTGACGTCTCAATTTAATATAATAAATTAGATATTTTCTTAAACTAGTGACGCAAACAACATCTACAATGGAGAGACTAGAATAGATCAACCAACACTTTGCCCCACAGGCAACCAAGTTTGGAGTAAACAACTTTGTTCACGTTTAACAAGCCCCTGCTGACCCAATCCTCTCACTCACAACTGGATTCAAGAACGACAAAGACCCAAAGAAAGTCAATCTCGGAGTCGGTGCCTACAGAGACAACAATGGCAAACCATACGTCTTCCCCATTGTTAAGAAGGTTGAACAACAAATCGTTAACGATCCAACTCTTGATAAGGAGTATGCTCCAATTGAAGGTGTCGCAGACTTCATTACTGGCTCAAGATAGGTTGCTTTCGGATGGGACCACCCAGATGTTAACAGCGGTAGAGTTGTTACTTGCCAAACTTTGAGTGGCACTGGCGCACTCAAAGTCGTTGGCGACTTCCTCAAGAAATTCAGAAATGCCCCAATTTACATTAGCAAGCCAACCTGGGCCAACCATAATGCAATCTTCCAATCTTCAGGTCTTGAAGTTAGAGAATATACTTATTATTGCCCCAAGTCAAAGGGATTGAACCTCGACGGTATGCTCAAGGACCTCGCCAACGCTCAACCAGGCTCAATTGTATTACTACACGCTTGTGCTCATAATCCAACTGGAGTCGACCCAACCCCAGAGCAATGGCACAAAATTGCCCAAGTCATGAAGGAAAATGATCTTTTCCCATACTTCGATGTTGCCTATTAAGGATTCGCTTCAGGTGATCTAGCTACTGATGGCTATGGAATGAGCCACTTCATTAAGGAGGGCTTCCAAATGGTTATTGCTCAATCATTCGCCAAGACTATGGGTCTCTATGGTGAGAGAACCGGTGCCTTACACGTTGTCTGCTCAGATAATGCTACTGCTGAAAAAGTCCTATCTCAAGTTAAAATCGTCATTAGATCAAACTACTCATCACCCCCAGTTCACGGTGCCAGAATTGCAGGTAAAATCCTAACTAACCCCGAAAACAGAGCTCAATGGCTCACTGAATTGAAAGCAGTTACCGAGAGAATGAACTCAATGAGACACGCTCTTAAAGCCTCTCTCGTTAAGAATGGATGCAAAGGTAACTGGGATCACGTCACCTCCCAAATCGGTATGTTCTCCTTCCTTGGTTTGACCGTCAAGCAATGCGAAACCATGATCAGCAAGCATCACATTTACATGACCTCAAATGGAAGAATCTCAGTCGCTGGTCTCACCACTGCCAACGTTGATTACGTCGCTAATGCCATTAAGGATGTTGTTGACAACGTCTAATGAAGAGAATTGAAATCTTGAACTGACTAGTCTCAATTAGTTGTTAATCTTAACTCTATTAAATTCTCATATCAATTTTAAATCTCAACCACTCTTTTATTTCAGTAATATCTTCTACCCGGGGTTTTGGGGTTTTGGGGTTTTGGGGTTTTGGGG